TGTGTTAAAACAAAACACTACTTTCACTAAGGATTAGAATTAGCATGTATAATTCCAATAACTTGGAAGGCTGAGGCTGGAGAACCATAAGTTCAGAGCCAGCTTCAGCAATTTAGTGAAACCCTATCTCAAAATAAAAAATAAACAAAGGGCTGGGATGTGGCTCAGTGATTAAGCACCTCTGGGTTCAATCTCCGGTAATGGGGTAAAAAATAATAATAATAATTAGCATGTGCAAAACTTGTCTTTCCTAAGTCCTATCTCAGTGTCTATAGCACAAAACAGGTAAAGAAGGTAAATTTACAGCCTGTTCCAAGCCAACAGTGGTGAATGTGGATCCCAAACCTGCTTTTTCCCATCCTTGACTAGGATCCCTGAGGGATTTCTGTTCTCACCTGAGGTGGATTTTTTCTAATCCAGCATCTGCAAGGTCATCGTTTGCCCTCTGGTGAATATCTCTTTGAGTTTCAATTTTGTGGTCATCTGACAGACCATCCACTTTATGAATAAACACCTCGAAGTTGATGTCGGTGTTCACCTTGTAGGCCCTGGTCACCGTGAGGTGGAGCCTGGCCAGGGCTTCCATGTAGTCATCCTGGGAACAAAGGCAACGCCTGTGAGAGGAGGCTGCTCCACCCTCCTGAGCCTACCACATGGTTTCTGCCCTTCAGAATGTCTTGCAAAGACTCCCCTTAGAACCTGGTTTCATGGAATCTAAGTTTGAAAACCTAAGTTGTATTAACAAACAGAAGAGAAGGCTAACAAAATGCAGCTGATTTAGGCAGCTATAACCGAGGCTGATGAACACAAAAGATCCGAGTTGTAGTTTCAGAAAGAGAAATGACCTCACACCACCTCAGTCCTTCCCTGCAATACTGTCCTCCCCACCTTCCAAGTCTCTTGGTGAACCATGAGGAACCATTAGAGATGGAGACACAACAGGGATCACTAGGAGAATTGGGAATGGGCTCAGAGAATAATTTTAGAAATACTGGACGAGAGCAAAGTCAGCATACCCTGGGCCATAGCCCCCACCTTGTCCTCAGGGTCCCATCTGGTTTTTATAAGGAACTTACATTGGAACAGCCATCTAATTTGTCTGCATGTAGTCTGAGGTTGCTTTCATGACACAAGACAGAGTTGAGTCACTTTCCTCTGTGGAAGCTCCTCAGAGACAATACAGTATGCAAAGCCTCAGATATGTTACCATCTGGCCCCTTACAGAAAGCTTGGGGACCCCCAATGTGGAGTAATTGCTCCAAACATCTCGATTTATTTTTTTCTCTATTATGACAATGTAATAAATACCTGTGTATCAATCACTATTTAAAAAACAAAGCATTAACACCAAAGCCCTGTGTATTTCTCCCCATTCTCCCAACATAGCCCACTACCCAGCCACTCAAGGCAACTACTCCCTCGAGTTCAGTGTTTATTTTCACTCATCTCTTTACACCATACACATCTGCATCCCCAAATAACAGACACCATTCATTTACATTGTTTAAAGGTTTACTGAAGTGGCTGGGCAAGGTGGTGCATACCTGTGATCCTCGTGGCTCAGGAGGTTGAGGCAGGAGGATCACAAGTTTCAGACCAGCCTCAGTAACTTGGCAA